TATCCGTCCGACATATGCCCCAGTGCAACGCGTACTCCCCCAACTAATCAGTGAGACTGTATGGGAGGTGAGACATACATACTATTTTCCAAGTCGTTCATGATCAATGTTCACCGACGCACGCCAAGGTGCGGGAAAGCATGAACAACATCAGGTCTCACATGGGAAGAATCATCACGGTACGCCTCCCTCATTGCTGCCAGTGAATGTAGAATGACTAACGGCGACTAGGAGAGCATCGCTGAGGAAACCAACACCGGGTAGGCCACAAACCTTAACGCTATCCCCCATCTCACTCCCTCCCGTCCAGCCAAAGTGACGGAGTTTACATGAAGCCGGCCTGTGCTCTCCAGTCATCAGAGGTCGGATCGTCACTGCGTCCCGTTTACCCAGACTGATGATCGCGGCCATAGGTCATCAATAACATTTCTGTGGACCCCGACGTTCGTTCCCGTCGCCACCCATGTATGCCGTGTTGACTCTCAACGTAGGCATCCACGCCGTCGTGCCTTGAACCGGAAGCGGGCGAAGACACTATCGTTGGAGCGGAGGTATGCCCTTCGTCCTCGTTCGTCTAACCCTGCTGATGGAGATGGGCAGGGTCTGAATATTATACCCGCCGAAGAACCTGCCGTCGCAGAGGAGGTTCGAGTTAATTCTCGTCGTCGTTCCTTTCCCGCTGACTGGCCCGCTGAAGCGTGCGTTCACCCAGCCGTGCATTGGCCCGGAGATCCGTACATCGGGCGAAGAGACCGTCGTCGCAGACGATGTTGGTGCCATCTCCTTACCCTGTTCCCAGTTTTTAACCCTCAGAACAGGCGTCCACGCCGGCGTGCAGCAGTTCCGAATTTATTCAAGATGAAATTGTTGAGTTACCACTACCAGTGACCATAGATACATCTGAGACCGATGCAGCTGTTGCAGCTGCATAGCTGTTTGGCGTTGCTAGTTTCGGATGTCGTAGTCGATCAGATCATTATATCTGGCTTGTCCGAGACCGTCTTGTCGCGAGCGCTACGTGCCTCACCGGAGCGTCTCCATCGTGGTGATCAGAGTGGATTCGAGTGCCCTACGCGCCTGGACCGCTCCCCGCCATCCTCGCCCACCGCTGCATCCAGCGTGACCCTCCCTTTGGACCGCGTCATCCGCGAGACTACCACCCGCATTGCGGAGCCCCAGCCCTTTTTCTTCCTGGTTTCTTCAGTTTCTCGACCTCATTACCTCGCTTCACCACCCTACCTTCAACAATTCGTCTTTTGGTCCCCCCAATGTCTTGGGCCACACCTTTCCTTGGGGCCGCGACCCCACTCGATTCCGACGGTTTTCCGGATACGCGGGGCGAGGGGAAGGATGGGGAAGGATACGAGGGGGACGAGTACACGCCGGGATGGATACGGATACGTCTTTTGACGCACAGGGAGTCGGAGATGATCGGTATGTGGTCAGCTAGCCTCAAAGTTATGGCCGGCACCCAGCACCTCCTTCCTACCATCCCCAACGCCCTCCCCTTGTCCCACTCACCCTACCATCCATACCCTCGCCTCCACGCTTATCACGACTCGCTTCCCTCCGCGCCGCCAGCGTCACCACAGCGGCTACGTGAACGCCGCACCGCGTCGACGCACAGAGTTCTTCACGACGCCTCCGCCGCATGCAGCAAAATCATGCAGCTCGCGCAGACCCTTGAGCGTCGTACCAACGCTGAACGGCGCCTCACGCGCAAGAGGCGACGTCGTCCGACTCTGGCCAGCAGCGCGCGCCCTGCAGACACGTCCACAGTGACTGCTGTCGGCGACAACATTCCCTGCAGAGTGCCCACAGTCCGCCCGCCTTGGCCAACATCTGCGACGTCGCCCCACCCCATCAGCTTTCCCTCTGACACGCCACCCACACCCCAACCGTCCGCTGGGATAGCTAACCTCGTCGGCGTCATCGACGACAACGTGGCTTCTCCCGTCGCCGCCACCTATGCGGACGCCTCCATCAATCCTCCGGCTTCTCCGCCGCTTGTCGATGCTAGCGTACAGGTCGACTCGCCGCGATCTTTCGCCGATGCCGCGGTCACCACCGTCCCTTCCCTCGACGACAACAATACGACCTACGGCATTATCTCCGACCCCTTCGCACGTTCGCTTGCGCGGCTGCTTCCCCTGAGCTTGCAGCGAGAAGACCGCTTGGCACGCGCGATCTACCTCGACGACTGGGTGCGCTGGGCCGAATGGTTCCCTTCGCTTCCACCGACCCAGCGCGTGTACCTCAATGCACTCGGCGCGATTTTTCGTCCATGGGTGGACCCGCAGCATGGGTCGTCAATGGCCCTGGCCCTCAACCCGGTTTACAACCTCTTCATGCACTGGTGGAGCGGATGGAATGCAATCTCATTCCCGACCCGGCCACCTGAGCGCGACGCACGCCGCCGCTACTATTATCTTTCGGACGACGAACTGGATGGTGTAGTCCCACTTTCCGGTCGAGGCTTTGTGGTGCAGCACACCAGTGGATTTTAGAGGAAGAGGGGTTTGTTTTGCGGCCGAGGGCGGCCTTCTTTTGGAGGGGGGAACCTGCAGCTGTTGCAACTGCATAGCTGTTTGGCGTTGCTAGTTTCGGATGTCGTAGTCGATCAGATCATTATATCTGGCTTGTCCGAGACCGTCTTGTCGCGAGCGCTACGTGCCTCACCGGAGCGTCTCCACCGACTCGGTGCGTGGGCACGGCTCGACCTTCATTTCATCGAGGCTGATCGTATCGTAGAAGGAACGCAACACGGCGATTTCATCGACACCGGACGACTCTCCTCCTCCCTCCCCGCTCGATCCGGTTGCTAAGGATGAGAGGACCTCTAGCTCGAGCGGTGACAAGTCCTCCGAGGTGAGCGTTGCGGGCAGCTGGAACGGCGCTAGACTCATGACCTTAAGGAAACTGTCCCGGGAGCGAACAATCCTCGCGACCACGACCCAGCCGGCAGTGTCGACAGCCCCACCCCTCCAGTCCCGGCGTCCCCGTCTCCGCCTGTAAGCCTGTGGGTCCCTGCCGCGCGCCGGAGCTAACACTTTCGTAGCAGGGTTCTGAGGAATTTCCGTGGGCGGAGTTTGGGAAGGACGTACTCTGGTGCAGCGTTGGGTTTGGGCTATCGAGGATAGCGACGATAGTCTGTGAATCGAGTATGGTCCGTGAACGAGTGAAGGATGTGGTCACCAAACATTACGCCAATGGCAGAGTCGTTTCGAAATTACGCCCCAGCGACTTCACGTATGCGAAGGAGATGGAGGAGGTACGCATTGTCACACATCTCACACATGTTGGTGCTCGACATCAACCGAAAACAGATTTTAGGGGACCGGTACCTCCCACGCAAACCGCGTCCTGCGACCTCACTCACTACGAGTCTTACCGGGGGAGAGACACTTTTCTTTCCCTCTTCATCCAAGGAGTACTCTTTCAAGAATTTCACTACCACCGCTACCATCTTACCTGAGGCGGGCACGAGATTCTCGGAAAAATCCTACATATCGTTGAGACCGGCGTTGCGGCGGGAGAACGCATCGATGGGAGATACAGCGGGCATGTCCGCTGATCAGGCGCTCAGCTTCCTGCAGCAACTCTGTGCGTGGTGCGTCTTTCTCTCAACTAGGTCCAATCTAACGGCATGCTCACAGACGCGCACGACCCAGAGATACTATCCACTGCGAATAGTACCTTGGCAAAAGTCCTGTTATCACCCAACGCGGCATTGTTGGGGTCTATGGGCGGGGACACCCTATGCGCGACCATCATACGCCGATTCTTCGTGGATCCCAGCGAGAACTTGTCGTGGAAGGACGTACTTTACTGCATCCTCGAAATCGCCGGTCGTGGTGCCCTTTCGGCCGTTCTCTTCTGGTTTGGCTGTCCACTCATGGCTATCTCAGTCATCCAGCACTTAGGAGGCGTCCTTTGGAAATACCGTAGATTTATTGGCAGGGAGATCAGCGCCGGGGTCAAGACTGCGGCGAACTGGGCGCACGGCGTTTTGGAATCGACCAAGCGCGTAGCCCGGAAAAGATGGGATGAGGTACGCGGTGTTTGGCGCAAGACGAAGCGTCTCGCGAGGAGGGAATGGAACTCGATCAAACCGGTGATTCAGCAGGTGTGGGATGGTACACGAGGGGCTTGGCGCAAGACGAAGCGTCTCGCGAGCCGGGCGTGCAGGTCCGCCGTTCAGCAACCCCGAGAGACCATCGGAAAAATCGTCGGAGGGGCTTCGGACTTGGTGCGGGGCGTTTGGAACTCAACGAAGAGTCTCGTGAGCAGAGCCTGGAGCTGGTTGACTTCGTGAGTCGTTTCGTAGGTAAATCATGTCTGGTAATCATGCGCACTCTGTTTATGGAAACTCTTGGGGGCTCCTCTCACCTCTATCACAGCCTGAGAACTGGCGTGCGCCATAGCGTGAACCGGAGGCATGAGGTGGCCGTATTGCGTCGTAAATTGATCGGGTCCGCAAGTAGTTACCCCTGAGGGGCTGCAACGACTCGCTCAGGTACCCAGCATATATGCAGTGCTACAAGTTGGCCTGAACCTGGCAGAAGAGAACTGTTTGAAACGCAAGATCACAACCGTGGGAAACGGCATCACTCAGAGGTTAATTCCAGCCCGCTCGTGAGTTGATATCTCTCAACAAACTGAGTTGAAGAAACATGGCTGTGTGAATGTATGTATGCGCCTGAAGGTGGTAAAATCAATCCGCAGATTAGCATTGGCGCACTCAACCGGGTGCCCTTGATCTGCCACAAATCAATCAATTTTGAGCCTTTGACTTTGACCCATGGGCCGTCAGAGTGGTTGCACCCGGTGAGCGGGAAACCATCCTGTCCATGGTGTTCGGACGCCGGACATCGAACCGCAAGTCAGAGAAGATTCTCAACGCATGTAGCAAATCGGCGCCAAACACTTAATTCGTGGAAGTTCGTGGAAGTTAGCCATGGGTCCCAGCGTCCGTTGCAGTTCAAGAGGGCGGTCTATAGTCTCGCGTGGAGCAAACCCGGGAACTCACTCCTTTCCAGTCCGCATGACTCGGTGAACATTTCTGGGAGAGTCGGTGGTTCGAATCCACCCGCGAAACGTAAGTGTTTCGGATCGCGTTTCCATTTTGGTAAGAGCGTAAGATTACTCAAGCTCCTGAAAAGCGCACCGCGAGCGGGCGCTTTAAGCTGGGGGCATAGACCGGAGAAGAGTATGAGAGGGTCAACGCGCGTGTGCGGTTGCGAAGTGCAGAATGATTAGCAGGGGGTGCACAGAATCGGCGCCAGAGGTGTGAAGCAATCCAGAAGCGAGGTCACCGGAGAACGAATGAAAAACGTTCTGTGCATTAATACGCGCAATTATAGCCGAGGCGATGTAAGGTAGTAAATGCGAGCCGTCGGTCGGTCCAGAGGAGGACGGGAGCGTGGCTGCGTGAGATAAGAGGCGAGAGACGAGAGGAGTCCAGAAACAGTGAGCAACGAGCGACAGGGCGTCGGGGATAGCCAAATCGTGCGAGGTTCGTCCCCGAGCGTAATTAACGCGGTACTTATAGACGCGCTAAATCCGCAATGAGGCCAGAAATAGTGTCCCCGAGACCCGCAACCGGAGATAGGTGGTTCATGTCGCCAGCTACAGCACGGCAACAGCGCCCAGCAGCACGCCCACGACGCTCGTCAGCAGGGCGGTGAATGGGATCCGCATCGCGGCTGCAGCGCCTGTATTCGTTGGGGGTGATGATGAATTGGAGGCGGTGGGCGAGTCGGACGGCGATGTCGCGGTGGAAGACGCGGAATTGCTGGCGGAGTTCGATGGGGACGTCAACGTCGAGGAGGGGGTGAAGGAGGCGAAGGAGAGGCTGGTGGGTTTTGAGGCAGCAGCGCAGAATTTCCCGACGAGGGCTTCGGCTGAGGCGACCTCGGTGGGGCAGGTGGTGAGGCAGGCAAGGAACGCGGTTGTGTAGCTTTTAGGCCTGGGATCGTACGATGATAGTTAATATGACGAAAAAATGGAGGCGAAAGGAAAGACTGACGTCGCACAAAAGCAATCAAATGCCACCTCACTCTCGCACCCGGCTGCACTCGCCGCCGTCCCCAGACAATCCGTCACGCAGCTTGAAACACCGCTCAAGGAAGGCAGCTGCGCGGAATTCGTGGGTGTAACGAGCCCACTAGTAGTGCTGCCAGAGGTTGGAGTCGCGTTGCCTCCATTGGCGCCGTTAGTCCCTGGAGTGCCGCTGCCATCAGCGCCGTTCGTTCCAGGACTCGCTGCAGACGCGACGAGGACGAGTGTGAGGGCGACGAGGGCGTGGGGGAGCATCTACATGCGGCTAAGTTAGGGCTGCTTGAGATTTCTGTGCAGGAAATGGATGTACGAGGCAAGGAAGGAACGGACAGAGTTTGAGGATGAGCGTCGGAAGCAGGAAGCAATAGCCGAATGGTGTGGGAAATCAGGATCATGTCGCTCAAGCGGCATGTTGGCGGCATCTCGGCTGAAGTTCAACCAACACCAATTGTGCCGGTGTGAAGCCAAGAACCCGCTCAGAATCATCCTTCTTGAGGCTGACACTGCCTCAAGTGAATCAACCGATGGTATGTCTGTTGGAATCACCGCGACGAGGCCGGGTTTCAACCCAGCTCTTTTTCTTTTTCTTCGCGGCCTTTCCGTGGGGGTTGGAAACAGAAACAAAACAGAAAGTAGGATGCGACCGCATGACCCCGCGTGGACTGGGACACAGGCCGCAACTTAAACCGCAAACCGCGCGGTACATTACTCTGAGCAACTCGAGAGCTCTCAGGAACGCGTCGAGAAAGTAACGCAGTAGGCCGGACTCCACGTGGAAATTAACCGTTCTTTAACGAAATGCCCCTCGTTCGTTGGGGTCTCTTTGGTTCAAACCCCATGTAGACTTATCCCCTTCTCTCACCCTCTCCTCTCCCTCTGAATAATGACGCCGTATTCTCTTACGCAGTTCAAAATTACTTCAAGCTGCTGTGCACGAAATCCATTTGAACTGAACGTCCCACACGGAGCATGGGGTTTCACAGCTCTCAAGATCGATTTCATTTCAAAGCTGTCAAAACTCCAATAGGGAAGCTCGGGACAAACCCCTTGCACAGCACGGAGCTGTTGAACTGCGTGATTTGTACCGCACCGGTATAAATACGTGCATCCCCTGCGCTCATCGATATCCTGTCCCTTTCCCCCACCTTTCCGCGCACCCTTCCAGTTCGCGCGGCTCGTCATTGTCCATGATATGGCAGGATCAACATTGTGTCTCTGCCTAACTCAATACCGAATCAATATCTCAACACTCACTGCTTCAACTACCGCAATCGCTGGAGGCATCCTTCGACCCGGTTACTCGTGCTCCGCTGCATTCGGTCCCGCAAATTCCAATTGTTGTCGTCGTGATCACTTCGAGGCCTGGAGCCTACAGAGCTATCCTCTGCGGCCAACCTCCTCCCTCCACAAACTGTGCCAGTATTCATCAAATACTCACCTTCAATCCCTGGTACCGCCCACGCTGACCGGGAAGATTACAAGTTCGCAATATATTTCAACATCCGTCGGTGGTCAAAAGCTTTACCCCATCCTCCGCTGTGCTCTGGCTGTCGGGTGTACCAGCGCAAAGCGGACCGCGATGCATCAATATTGTCCGTCATCCATTGACGCGCCTTGACGGCCGCGCGCCCTGCAAATCGACAACGCCGAAATCGCCGACAAACTTTTCACGCCTCCCGGTTTACCTCTTCCACCAGCGTTTATGGTGCTCCGCCCCGCAAACTTCGTGGACCTCGGTCTACCGCCGTATCTTACGCGTCACCGTGGCGAATCCCACCGCTGCCCCCTATACTGTATTGCCCTTTCGTCTCTTTTTCCGTCCATCATCATTCCGTTCCATTCCTCTCATCCCGAGACATATATATCATTGCTGCACCAGGGTCCCTCGTTACTCTCCGTATTTGTTGCTGTTCTATGAGCACAAGGCTTCAGCGGCACACGCGCTTTCGATTCCCCGCCGGGCGCTCTTACCGTCATCTCACCATTCCCATTCTATTGCCACCTTCAGCTCAGTGGCGGTCAAATCAGTTGTACTACGGACCCATGACTTCGAAATGTTGAATAAGAGTACTCATGGTGTTCTCTGCCCAGTGATAATAAATTTGAACTGTAAAAACTGTGGGTATAAGTAATGATAACTCAGCTTGCCGGAGCGGAGCGAAGGGCTCGTCTTGTTTGGTTGGAAAGGATTGTCACCCAGATAAGCATTCAACATGGAGGGGGAAATAGATAAAAAGTAAAGGCCACGCCGCTCTCCTTATATGTCCATCCCTGGACTCGAACCAGCGTCTTCACGAACAGCCTTAAAGAGTGTCAATGAGCTCGACGCTCAACAAGGACTTGGGAGACTCGACTCATTGGTGTATTCTATCCATCCGCGAGGGGGAAGACTCATAAGTGAGAGCCTGCCTTGAAAACTGTATACAATCCATCCGCGCGCCGCCCGAGCTGCATGCGTGAATTTTCTAGGAACGTCAGCAGGGACAGCCAAAGCGAAATCTATCCGGATAGATGGCTTTAATCCCCGCACCTGATCCCCGCACCTGTAGTGCTGGAGGCACTCAAGGGAATTTCAACGCAAAAAAGAAAGCTGCACGGAGACAATCGGTCTAGGCAATCGAACCCCAGCTTCATGACCAATCGGTCCCTAGAGAAGGCTTGCATTCTCCCTACCGAGCACAATGGTGCATTTTGCACCACGTTCGATGTGAGTCTCATGTCTTCTGTCCCTCTCATGGCACTCGCGTTGGATTCAGCGTCCTGCGTTCAGGTGTCGTGCATTCCATCTCCGCTGCACACTGGACCTCGCATCTCATGTCCCCGACTCTAGATATTTTCTGCTTCCTGCAAAAAGGAATCAACACTCGCACATGCCCTCACGGGGATTCGAACCCCAATATGAATCGCCGCCCGGTTTCATCAACACTCAGCGCTGAGGGATAACAGCGCACTGTCTGACGACGACTGCAAATCCCGAACGAGTTGAGCTGGCACACTTCAATCCTCTGTACAACAACTCCACCAGACAGCGAGAATGTCCGTCGAAAGTGCAGCGAATGATCCCGGAACGGAGAAATTTCGTTGTGAAACATCTCTGCCCACAATAAAAAACCCGCCCCGTTTTCGGACCCGGGCATTACGATATACCGGGTGCAGCGGTATCGTCACGGCACAGGTTTACCTGGGTCTGATGGCTTAGCCGAGTCGTAAATTCCCACGGTTCGATTTCAGAAGATCGTCCTCAAAGTGGTATGGATCGGAGAGCTTTGTAGACGTGTCAGTACTAAGTCCTGGTCGCCAACTAAAGCTTAATGTAACACGATCTCAAAGGACCTCGGGTGATTTCTATTCCTATCCAGATTCGTTGAGCTTGAACAACGCCGAGACGCCCGATCGACTTCCCACGGTTTTCAGTTCATCGGTCCCTCTCAGCTTCCCCCTTATTCTCATCCTCCGAGCACCATCTCTCTCCCACATTCCCGCAGGTCCCCTTTACCCACTCACGAGTCCCGCTGTGCCTCCCTCCGACGCTCGATCGGACAAGTACCTTTTCTTGTTGTTGTGAAACTTGAGCTGGGGTCTCCCAGCCTCGAGTCTCGATGCAGGTACCAACTCAAGTCCCAGTTCATCCCGCTTACCTATCACATCTTTCTCCCCGTCTCAGTGATCCTCACCCGTGATGAAATTCAGTTCGAGGCCCTAAGTCTACTTAAGTGATATAATGCCCGGATCACCGAGCTAGCTCACTAATGAATGTCATGACAGCTCCGAGTAAATCTGCAGTCACCTCGGTCCAATTGCTCCTCTGAATTGAATGGCAGTCCAGGCACAATCACAGAATCGAATGAAAGGGAAACAACGGTGAGTCACAGGAATGTCAACTGAGATCGGGTGTATAGCATTCCGGGTCCCGTCTCAATCACGATTCAAGTTAACCGATGCTGGGAGTACATATTTAAAGGAGCCCAACTTCTTATATGGCCTTTGCATTTGCCCCCTTTCGAATCTCATCCCTCTTACTTCACTTTTTCACAATAT